TTTTAAAACTAATTTATTATTCAATTTAAATTAATAAACAATAAGCAAATTGTTGTGTTTTAGGAAGAATTATAAAAAAAGATTTTCTTTTTCTTTTTCTATTAGAGACTTTTTTTTTATGTTTTCTTTTTAAAAGAAAAATAAAAAAAGAGATAAAAGGCCTCATTTAATTAAACCAACATTTAACCTAGAGTATTATTTGAATGGCTACTTTTATATTTAGAAAATGATGTCATTTTTCATTTTAAATAAAAAAATAAATATAATTGTAAAGACTTAATTGCTTGATTGTAGACATCGATTTTGTTTGGGTCTACTGTTTACATTTTAAGTATATTAATAATAATAATAATAATAATAATAAAAATAAATATTTAAAATATATAAAATTAAAAATTAAATAAAATTAAAAAAATAATAAAAAAAAGAAGGGAAATGAGACAAAAACCAAATGTTGGTACGACGCCGCTGCCACCCCCCTGTCAGCCTCTCGACTAGCCCCCTATCAGCCTCTTGACCGGCCCTCTAACGCCCCCTAACCAGCTCCCTTTCAGCCCACATACAGCCACCCTATAGCCATTTAGATCCCCCTAAATTGAAGCCCTTTAAAATCCCCAGCCATTTCCCCTTGAATCTCTTTCGGCTCTCGAACAAAAAAAAAAAAAAACCTTTCGATCTACCCACGAAAAGCCCCGAGCTCAGACGAACTTTTCCCCTATCAAAACACCCTCAATAGCCCCAGATAGACCCCCATTCCGATGCAAAAAGAAAAACTAAACTTCAAACACCCCCCAAAATACCTAAACTGAAAACAAAACAGATCTAGCAAAAGACAATAGAAACAAAAAAAACAACACAGTCCTCCCCGCAGAGAGGAACCTCAATGCCAAGCTACCTGCAAGAAAAAAGATATATAAGTTTTTGTTCACAAAAAAAAAAAGAGAAAAGATGAGAGATCCAAAATTTTGAAGATAGATTCACGACAGTCAAGCCACTTTCAGGCCAAACGAAGGTCAGATCTGGAAAGAAGGTGTCCAGAGGAATCTTCAGTGACTTTCTGACCATTTTTCGATCATCGACGACCACCGCCGATGGTGACTCACACGACGGTTGGCTCAGGCATGACATCAGATTCCGACGAGACCAAAAACCTCTCCCCAAGAGCTTTTTTTTTCTATGAAACTGAACAGATTAAGGAAAGAAAAAAAATCTGACTTTTATAGAAAACATAGGACCAAAACAAACGTCGTTTTGAGCATAGAACCAAAACGACGCCGTTTCAAGCCTAGAGGATCCGCGCGTGGATCGAACTTGACCCGAGATCTGCGTAACCTGACCCAATGACCCGTTTCAACCAACCTTGAACCGGTTCATACGAACGGCCAGTGAACCGTTGGTCGCCTGAACCGTCGATCTAGCCGTCGAACCAATCAGACCGCCCGAACCAACGTTGATCGGTCCGATTTAGGTAAAAAAAAAATTTTTTTCTAAATTTTTTTATATATTATTATTTTTATTATTTTATATTTATGCATGATAAATGTTTAAATTTATTATGATAAATATCTAATTGTTATTAATAATAATAAAATGAAAACAATATAAAATAATAACTAAAAAATATATTAAAAATGTTTAAATAATAATAGTAATAATTGAATAAGCTTTTTATTTTCCTTGCTTAGATTTTGGAGGGAATAAAAAATATTTTTCAAACAAATAATTTTGCCTAGATGTTGGGGAATTATTGTGAATAAATTTTCATAAAAAAAACACACAAGAAATTTTCAATTAGTTTTCAAAAAAAAAATGAACTTGCTCCGAAAGTCTGCCTAGATGATGGGGATTTTTAGAGATGTTCGCGTTTTACTTAAACCTTAAACACTAATTTTTAATCCTAAGTTTTTAAAACCCCTAAAAATCCAAAATCCCCTAAGATTCAAAACCTCTTAAAATCCAAAGTCCTAAAATTCCTAAGGACACGTGTGAAAATTCTATTTGAAGTAATTTGTTTTCGAATGCCACCTAGATGATAGGGTATTTAGGAAATTTTACTTCGTTAAATCTTTTCACACGAGTTCTTAATTCACATTAATATTAGGATTAATAAATAAAAGGTATAATAGTAAATTGAGATCTTAAATATAAACAATCGCACCTAAGCTCTGCCTAGATGTTGGAGAGTCGATGTGATCTCATTATACTTAAAAACCCAACTTTTAAATTGCATTTCATTTTACATGACATTCATTAGCATACGTATGTTAGCATGTTATCATCAATAATTTTTTGCATTATTCTCTCTTTAATTTACTGTTCAATGATAAAAATATTTTATAATAAAAAAAGAATAATACCTTTTTTGTGATATTATAAAATAAATTTAAAATAACATTCCGAAAGAAATAATTCTTAGTACTCTGCCTAGATGATGGAGAGCCACTAACAATTATTTTCTATAAAGATTGTTATTTCAGTTTAAGGATTATTGTGTTAAATCTTATGAGAAAAGAGTTATTTTAAATTCTACTTAGATGATGGAGAATTTTAAGATAATTCTTTAACTTAAAGATTTTCTCAATAGTTCTAAATAAATATTTTAGCAAAATTTTATTTTTTTTCAAGTGAAGGGAATTAGTGTTAAATTTCAAATTAAAATCATTTTTATCCAACATCGAAAATAGTGTGTAATTAAATGGTACCAATTTATGGGCGTTGTGGAGGTACTAATCCTTCCCCACACGTAATCGACTCCTGGACCCAACCTGATTTTTCGTAGACCGAAATTTATCTTTTTGATAAACTTTAAATCCGTTTTTATAGTTTTATTAAAAAGATAAACTTTTGGGTGGCCAATCACACCCTAACAAAGATTGGTGGCAACTCCCCCTTTTTTTATTTTCTTCGATTTTCAAACTCGTTTTACGTCTGACGATCCCAAAACCGTTACGACAGCTTGGCGACTCCACTGGGGACAAAATTTGAGAGTCAAGCTAAAACTTTGAATTATGCGCTATTAAGAATTGTTGGATTTAATTGGTTTTACTTGACATTTCATTTAATCTCTTTTATTTTGATTTTTTAAAAATATATATATATGTTAATGAATAAAACAAATTATATGATTTTGTGGTTATGATTTATTCATGTTATTTTAATTAGTACATTATTTTGCACACACTTTGCATATTCATGCATGAGCTCTAGACCCGGGCTTTATCTTTTTTAGGAGGAAGTAAAGTAGCTACGCTCTTGTGAGGTGATAACCTTCGTATTTGCTAGCGAAACATTTCCACTCAGATTGAACCCTTTCCTTTAGTAGCCTGTAATGGGTGAGGATAGGGGAGCCTTACTAGTCTATAATGGATGATGATGTGAGGAATAGTCTGGGAACCTTTAGACACGTAAATCTTAACCGAACATATAGTGAGCCGTAAGGTCCAACTTTAGGATAGAGCCACATTGTCCCTTCTACGAGAAAATTACCTAAATTAGGACACTATGTATATTCTGTTATGCTTGTTCATTCATTTACTCAGTTTTATTTATTCTTTTTATTTACATTATTGATTTGTTTTATTGTCTTCAATTTTGTTGCATACATCATATAGGTACCATATTTTTAAAGGGTATTATTTTGGATCAATTTTCAGCAAAAAAAAACTTTCAAGAAACCTAAAGGATGTCATCTGTGCGTAAGAGTTACTTAGAGATCAAAAGCCATTCAAAAAATACTCAAGGGAAAGAAAAAGATTGCTTAGCAGATGGTCACATATCAGTGCTACCACAGTCAATGCATATAGATCTCAATCAAAATAATATATCAGAATTGGAAGTCATTTGGAAACAGTAGAGAACAGAGAGAAAAAAAATCTTTTTCCAAGAAATACGAGGAAGTGGCACTGCTTATGTCAGTAAAGGTTGATAAACAATTGATAAGAGCTGCAATGCATATGGATCTCAGTCAAAATAATATATTAGAATTGGAAGTCATTTGGAAACAGTGGAGAACAGAGAGAAAAGAATCTTTTTCTAAGAAATACGGGGATGTGACACTGTTTATGTCAGTAAAGGTTGATGAACAATTTATGAGAGCTACAATATAGTTCTAAGATCCATCTTATCGATGCTTTGTATTCAACCAAGAAGACTTGGCCTCCACAATCGAAGAGTATTCTTCTTTACTCCGGATAGAGTCTACCAATCAAGATAAGATCTATTGAAAAGAGCATAAGACTACCGGATATAGAAAAAAATTAGCCAAGATCATGCAAGTGGAGGTTGAAGAGATAGATAAGCACAAGAAAGAAAAGAATGAGGTTGAGACCATTCCATTAGCTTTTTTGCTCGAGTACATAAGAAAGTATAGTGATACTGATCAGGGGTTGGATGTGTTTGCTTTGGCCATCTATGGGTTGATGATATTCCCTAAGGTTTTAGGGCATATAGAAGCATCGGTGGTCGATTTCTTTGAGCAATTAGATAAAGGTATAAATCCTTCACCAACTATTTTGGTAGAGACTATTAGATCACTTAATTTTTGTCAAAAAAAAGGTGAAAGACGATTTACGGGGTGTGCTCAATTGCTTTTTGTTTGGCTCAAAAGCCATTTTTGAGGGAAAGAAAAGACATGATTTTGACTATTCTCCGTGCATTTCAGTCCTATCAAGGAGTTTATTGCTAAAAAATGGAGAAAAGATTGGACAAAAAATCAGTGGTTGGCATTCTTTTTGAAGCTCACTAGTAAAGATATAACATGGAGAGCACCATGGATGCTTCCGATGGCTATCTTATATAGTTGTGGAGATGAGTCATGGGTACCTTTGTTAGGAATATGGGGGGCAATGAGTTACGCCCCCTTTATGGTTCAAAGATAATATGATTCGCAATAGTTCATCCCTATGACTCATAAGCTCGATTCACTCAAGTTTGATTATGGAACACCCGGTTATGTGAAACGGGTTCGTGAAATCATCCAAGCATAGAAACAGGTCAACCAAATGAGCCCAACTAGATTCACAGATAATGTTACTGAAGGTTACCTTACGTGGAGAATGAAAAGGGTTAACAAAATTAGGCCTCTACCAACTAATGTTTCAGAGAAGTTGCCAGTCCCTGTTTCAGTACCGGTATTATCGACTCTTGAGATTTCTCAACGAAAGTTTGAGATTGAAAAGAAAAGGTTAGAGAAAGAAAAGATGACTATGATGGATTAGGTTAACCAACTAAGATATGATTTGATGATGAGAGATGATGCAGTATAAAAGTTGACTAAAGAACGAAAAGTATTGAAAGAGGATCTGTAAAATCTGCATCAAGAAAATAAGAAATTGAGGTTGGATAGTAGACCTTTGAAGGGATAGAAGAAGGATGTGGAAGAACTACGGGACATGGTGAAATATTGGAAGAACAGAGCTCGAGAGAACAAAGAAATGATCTTCACACTCACTAAAGAACAACATGAATGGAAAGAAAAACTTTCAGAAGCTTCTAAAAAGGTAGCAAGGCACTAAAGAGAAAGTGAAAAGCTAAAAGTAGAACTAAGGAGGGAACAAAACAAGAACTCCGATTTGTAAAGTGAGAAAAAAACCTTAGAGCATGAATTAATGAGCTTGGAGCTTCAATTGACAAGCAATCAATGTCACATAGACAAGATTTTGACTGAGTGGCAAGAAAGAGAGGACTATTAGGCTCGTACTTTCAATATGAAGGTAGATGCTCGAAAGATGTAGAGAGCAAAAAGTTTAGGGAGGCAACAATACATCGAACATCTAACTGCTCAAATCTACAAGACTGTTCGAAAAGCAAGCAACATGGTTGAAAAAGCAGAAGCACTGAAACGAGAGATTGTACCAACCCAAGGCCACAGTTAAAGATTACTACACTTTTTGTATAAAGCTAGAGAGCAATATGCTCAAATCAAATATTTTTATGGCTTTAATGCAAGAATGATCGAATGATGTATAAAAACTCCCATGGTTAATGAAAGTTTCTTTTTGTTTCGATCGATCCAAGACAGTACCCTAATTTGCATTTCATTCATTTCATGCATGCATTTTCATACTAACAATAATATCAACGACATTATATCATGTAATCTAATTCATGGTTAATAAACTAAGGTTCAATGATAGCAAAGCCAAGGAACCAAAATCCGTCAATTTTGCATAGATATAATACTCGTTCTCAGACTCAAGCCATGGAAGAAGAGAATACAGCTAAATTTGAAAGGGTCGAAAGGGCACAGGAGGAGATACGAGAAAGGGTAATGAAAATACAATAAAGCATTGAAGTACAAATGGCTGAATTAAGATAATTGTTGATTGGATTAATGAAAGAAAAAAAAGTCACTAGTGCATCAAGGACAAAAGATGAGGCTAATATAGAAGAGCCATTATACCCTTCGAGATTCACTCCACCTCAGGTTTAGGTTTAAGTTCCTCGGGGTATACACATACAATCACCAAGTGCATAGCCATACCCCTATGTCAACCATTCTGCAAGTCAGCAACCAACCCACTTGAATACCAATTTGGGACCTATCCCAGTCGATCCCATCATGGTACCAAATCTTGACGACCCTGTTATAAATTCAAAAATTTGAGACAAGTATGACCAACTCGAAGAGAGGGTAATAACACTTATGGGGTTATTGACGCCAATGAGCTCAGCCTAGTGCCTAACTTGGTTATCCCACCAAAATTCAAGACCTCAGATTTCAAAAAATATGATGGGACAAAGTGTCATTCTGCTCATATCACCATGTTTTGTAGAAAGATGATGGGTCATACCCATAACGACAAACTATTGATACACTGTTTCCAAGATAGTTTGACTAGTTCAACAGCTAAATGGTATGTACAGTTAGTTCAGAGCAAGATCCGTTCATGAAAAGACTTGGCCAAAGTTTTTCTTGCTCAGTATAAGTATGTCTTGGATACAGCCCCTGATAGGCTGTCATTACAAAATATGAAGAAAAAATCGATGGAAACCTTTAAAGAATACGCACATTAATAGAGAGATGAGCGGCCCAGGTCCAATCACCACTGATTGAAAAAGAAATAACTGTGCTATTCGTCAATACACTGAAGGCCCTGTATTATGACAGATTGGTGGGAAATACCACGAAAAACTTTTCTGACATGATAATCTCATGGGAGATGATAGAGAACGCTATCAAAAGTGGTAAAATTGAAGGGTCTAAAAAGAAGACAGTTATTTTAAGGAAGAAAGAGCATGAGACACATGCTGTCACTCACAGAAATCCCTCACACCATCCTTTTGTCCCGTATAATCCATACCCCCTTACTACCCTGCCACAAACTAAATCTTTCAACAACCATACCATTACCAAGTACCCCAACAACCACTGCCCAGACCAAGTTTTAACCTTCAACCATCTAATTACACCTCTGCACCTCCAGCTCGACCATTTACCCGACCAACCTACCCAAACAGTAATCAATGAAACTCACAGAATAATAACAATCAGGAAAGACCTCATTTTGACCCAATTCTTATGTCTTACACCGATTTGTACCCCCAGTTAATAAGAGGCCACCTTGTCGCTCCTACTTATGCGAAACCATTAAAACCACCTTACCCAAGTTGGTATGAACCTAACGTCAAGTGCGATTATCATTACGGAGTTATAAGACATTTTACTGAAAATTGCACAGCATTTAAACACAAGGTGCAAGGTTTGATAAATGATGGGCTTTTATCTTTTGATACTAAATTCAAGCCCAATGTCAATGGAAACCCTTTGCCGGATCACATTGAAGAAAAAATCAATATGGTGGGTAAGAAAAAATATGTTAAGATCAAAAGACGCACGGATGAAGTGAGGACCCCTTTTGAACGGGTGTATGACTGTTTATATGAGACGGGTAGGATTCAACCATTATTTTTGAATGATAATAGCAGTCATAAAGACCTTGACCATTTTTGTAAATATCATGGGAGAACAATTGGACATTTGATCCAAAGTTGTGAAGTCTTTAAGCAAACATTATAGAGCTTGATGAATGAGGCCATCATTGAATTCTATGATGAATATGATGAAAATAGTGTGAATACAGTGGGTGACGAACATCATAGGAAGTCTTTTATGTCCAAACCCCTCACTGTTTACTATGATGAGAAACCAGAGCCCCTAACTAAGAAAACTATCCCCTCTCTCAGGACACCAATAACCATTCATGTCCCTAGTCCATTCCCTTATCAGACCAACAAAGCAGTCCCATGGCGATATGATTATGATGTAGTGATGCGAGGGTCTAATATGACCTCAAATAGTTCGAGCGCGAAGAATACCGCCAATATAGCCAGAATAGGAAGAATGACCCGAAGTGGTCGAATTTACACTTTTGAAATGTCAGAAAGGGCCAAGAAAAGAAAAGGCAAGATAGGAGAAGAAGAAGTAAAAGAGAGCCAAGATTCTCAACTGGTGGTAAGCTCAAAAGTTTGAGTTAACAAACTGGTATCAGAAAAAGAAGCTTGTGGGTTTTTGAAGATCATCAAACACAGTGAGTACAGTGTAGTGGACCAATTAAATAAACTACCAGTTCGTATTTCCTTATTGTCGCTACTACTGAATTCTGAGTCGTATAGGAATGCTTTGCTGAAAGTGCTTAACCAAGCTTATGTCGAGCATAACATTTTTGTTGAAAAGGTAGACCACATGGTTGAGAATATTATAGCACCAAATTTTATCACTTTCAATGATGATGAAATACCTCCGGAAGGACGAGGTAGTGTTAAGGCTTTACATATTACTGTCAAGTGCAAGTCTTACACTATGGCTAAAGTGTTGATTGACAATGGATCGTCTATTAATGTTATGCCTCTAATGAATTATGAAAGCTTTCAGTGGATCCCTCTCACATGCGAAATAGTCATATGATTGTAAGAGCATTTGACGGGGTACGGAGAGAGGTAATTGACGATATAGAGATTTCATTACAAATTGATCCTGCTACCTTCAATGTCATATTTCAAGTAATGGATATAACTCCAGCATATAATTGTCTACTTGGAAGACCTTGGATTCACACGACCAGAGTTATACCTTCATCACTACATCAAAAGGTAAAATTCATCATAGAAGGAAAATAAGTTTGTGTGGAAGATGAAGAGGACTTATTGGTAACAAAGACCTTAACAACTCCCTATGTTGAGACAGTAGAAAAAGCAATTAAATTTTTTTTCAGAGCTTTTGAAATAACAAATGCTACTTATGTAAGAGAAGGGTCAAGGATACCGATCTCTCAATTGTCAAAAGCTACGAATATAGTAATTAAACAAACTGCTGGTAAGGGTTGGCGAGCAAGACAAGGCTTAGGAAAAGCTCTACAAGGGATCGCAAGAGCACCATACCCGATTGAGAACAAAAAAAGATAGGGGTTAGGCTATAAGCCTACAGTTACTGATAAAAAGAATGTAATGCTGGAAAAAAAAAAGAGAATGGCATGTTTCAAGGGACAAGATTTGATTGATGGGAAAATGATATTTCCTTATTTGTATGAAACCTTCCGTTTAGTCGGGCATATCTATCTTGGGTCGACAGAAGCTGAACAAGGAGAACTGGTAATGGGATTAGAGGAAGCTTTCTAACGACTTCAAGTGGAAGTGGATAAATGAGTCATGCAAAATGAAGAGATCTTTTTTCCTTTTTAGGAGACTCAAAGAATAGTGTACCATTTTTGTTGTCCTTGAACCTTTAAACTCAAAAATTCCAATTGCTTCTGCCCAAGAGCATACGAAGGTTAAATATATGGGCTTATTTTCATTATCTTAATAAAATGATGAATGCAATGCATTTCCCTTATACTGTGTTCCCTATTTTTCATTTTTCCTTTCTTTCATTACCATTCTCTTTGCTCTTGCTAACATCAATATATATTTCTTTGTGATTATAACTATTTTCAAGTTTTTTAATAATGAACATTATGGATGACTAAGGTAATAACACCGGGTTTGATTTTGAAAATTTGACTCACATTAGCGAGCTTGATAACGATGTTGATTCAAAAGACTATGATTTACCTCATGATCTGTTGAAATGGATAGAGCAAGAGAAGAAAATTATAGAACCTCACCAAGAATCAACTGACCCATTAAATTTGGGAGATGGTGACAATAAGAAAGAAGTCAGGATCGATACTTCACTATCACCGATTGAGAAGCAAAAGTTGGTGAATTTGCTGCAAGAGTACATAGATGTATTTGCATAGTCTTAGCAGGATATGCCAGGACTTAGCACAGAGGTAGTTAAGCATAGGCTGCCTTTACAACCAGAATGTCGATTAGTACAACAAAAGTTGAGACGCATGAAGCCAGAAATATTGCTGAAAATAAAAGAAGAAGTAAAAAAGTAATTCGATGCTGGTTTCTTAGAAGTAGCCAAGTACCCTGAATGGGTAACCAATATAGTCCTAATTCCCAAGAAAGATGGAAAAGTTAGAATGTGTGTGGACTATCAAGATTTAAATAGGGCTAGCTCAAAGGATAACTTTCCATTACCACATATTGATACCCTTGTGGATAACACTACTAAACACTCCACTTTTTCATTCATGGACGGGTTCTCTAGCTATAATCAGATCAAAATGGCTCGTGAAGATATGGAGAAAACTACATTTGTGATAATGTGAGGGATGTTTTGCTATAAAGTTATACCTTTTGGGCTAAAAAATGCTGGTGCCACATATCAAAGAGCGATGGTCACTCTCTTTCATGATATGATGCATAAAGAGATAAAGATATATGTTGATGATATGATAGTTAAGTCTCAGAAAGGGAAGATCATGTTGTTAATCTCAGAAAGCTCTTTGAAAGGTTATGAAGATACCAGCTCAAGCTAAATCCAGTCAAATACACCTTTAGTGTTAAATCTAGAAAATTGTTAGGGTTTATAGTTAGTGAAAGAGGTATAGAAATAGACCCTGATAAAATTTGAGCTATTTAAGAATTATCAGCACCACGTACATAAAGGGAGGTGAGAGGCTTTTTGGGGTGATTGAATTATATTTCTCGCTTCATATCTCAACTTACCTCGAAATGTGATCCAATCTTCAGATTGCTTCGTAAAAATAATCCTGGTGAATGGGATGAAGAATGCCAAAATGCATTTAAAAAGATTAAAGAGTATTTGATAAGCCCACCAGTGTTGGTTCCATCAGTTCTAAGAAGATCGTTGATTTTATATCTAACGGTTCAAAAAAAATCGATGGGATGTATATTAGGGCAAAGAGATGAAACTGGCAAGAAAGAGCATGCTATATACTATTTAAGTAAAAAGTTTACTAAGTACGAGGTTAAGTACTCCCAAATAGAAAAAATATGTTGTGCCCTGGCTTGGACTACTCGTAGACTCAGACAATACATGCTCTACCATACGATGTGGCTAATATCAAAATTAGATCCCCTTAAGTACATTTTTGAAAAAGCATCCTTATCAAGCAGACTAGCAAGATGGCAGGTTATGCTTTCAGAATATGATATTATGTATGTGACATAAAAACCATAAAAAAGAGTGCAATTACTGATTTTCTTGCTGATCGAACTACAGAAGATTATGAACCTATGAAGTTTGACTTTTCAGATGAAGATTTGATAGCAATTGTGCAGGATGAAGATAAAGAGCCTGTAAGAGAAGTATGGAAAATATTTTTTGATGGTGCATCCAATATAATGGGGCATGGCATTGGAGCAGTGCTAATATCCCTAGAAAGAAATTATTACCCATGTACCCGAGGTTAGATTTCAATTGCACAAACAATGTCGCGGAATATGAGGCATGTGTCATGAGGTTACAAATGGCCATTGAAAAGAAAATTGAAACACTAGATGTATATGGGGATTCAACCTTGGTAATTTAACAATTAAAAGGTGAATGGGAGACCAATGACTCAAAACTAGTGTTGTACCAAAAACACATAACTGGCTTGAAGAAACATTTTTAAGAGATTCAATTTCAGCATGTTTCTTGAGAAGAAAACTAGATTGTTAATGCATTGGCCACTTTGGCAGTGATGTTTAAATTAAATAATGTTGTGGGAATCCAACCCATTATAGTACAAATGAAAGTTTCACTAGCCCACTGTTCAAATGTGGACGAAGAGGTAGATCGACAACCATGGTACTATGACATTGTACAATATATCAAGTATCAAGACTACCCAGAGTGGGCTTCAAAAAATGATAAGAGGATCATTTGAAGATTAGCAGCAAGTTTTATGCTTGATAGAGAAATTTTGTATAAAAAGAGTCGAGATCAAATTTTGCTAAAGTGCATCGATGCTATAGAAGCAAGAATAATTCTTAAAGAAGTACACGAAAGGATTTATAGAATGCATGTTAATGGGCATATGATGGCCAAACAGATCATGAGAATTGGTTACTACTGGTCTATAATGGAAAATGATTGCATCAGTTATGCTAAAAAGTGCCATAAATGCCAAATTTATGCAGATAAAATTCATTCTCTTCCAGTCCTGCTGCATGTTTTGGCACCGCCGTGGCCTTTCTCTATGTGGGGAATGGATGTGATCAGACCCATAACCCCTAAAGCTTCAAATAGGCATCGATTTATATTTGTGGTAATCGATTATTTTACAAAATGGGTGGAAGCAATTTCGTATGCTAGTATTACGCGATCAGTGGTGTATAGATTTATAAAAAGAGAGATAATATGCAGGTATGGTCTTTCGAAAAGGATTATCTCAGATAATGCTAGTAATTTAAACAATAAAATGATGAAAGAATTGTGTGCACAGTTCAAGATCAAGCATCATCATTCAGCACCATATCGCCCAAAAATGAATGATGCAGTGAAAGCTGCAAATAAGAACATTAAGAGAATATTAGAGAAAATGATTGACACATATAATGATTGGCATGAAAAGTTACCTTTTACTTTGGTTGCCTATAGAACATCAATTCGAACCTCTAGAGGGGCCACCCCATTTTCACTAGTGTATGGGATGGAAGTTGTATTGCCAATTGAAGTGGAAATTCCTTTTCTGAGGGTGTTGATGGCGACAAAATTGGATGAGGTAGAATGGGTTCAAGAGCATTTCGAACAACTGAATCTTATTGAAGAGAAAAGGCTTTCAACACTCAGTTATGGACAAATGTATCAAAGAAGAATCATACGAGCATATGATAAAAGGAAACGACCTCGATGCTTTCGTGAGGGTGAATTGGTTTTGAAAAGGATTTTACTATGTCAGCATGACAATAGAGGAAAATGGATGCCTAATTAGGAAGGTCCATATGTGGTAAAAAAAGCTTTTTTTGGTGGAGCTCTGATCCTTACAGAAATGGACGGAGATGAATTATCAAATCTTGTAAATTTAGACACTGTCAAGAAATATTTTGCCTAAAAAAATGAAAAAAAAAATACAAAAAAATGAAAAAAAATAAAAAAAACAAAAAATAAAAAAAAGAGAGAAAGGAATGATTCAGATTGAAAACTCGAAAAGGGCGGTTTGAGTCAAAAGAGGGTCATTTAAGCTGAAAACCTATAAAGACGGCTTGAATGAAGGTGAAGCTCAGAGAAAGTGTTTTAGAAAATGAAGGAGTGACACCGAATGGACGAATTGTCACCATAATTAAAAGAGATGACTTTTAGGGGGCAAGTTCTCATTAGTCACAGATGTAGGGCAAAGATTGGTCATATGAAATCACATGTGACAAGATCACAAATGTAACGAGTTTTTGGGAAATGACCTGGTCTAAGTAAGCCGAGGTCATCCAAATGTTCATTATTTAGAGAATTGATATTTGATTTTTTGAAATACTTTTGAGTTAACTGTTCTTTATGTCTCGAAAGGCTTATCTTTCTAAACCCGAAATACCCTATTACTGGTTGTATTGCACACCCAACTTTGAACCTGAAATCATTGCGTTTGTCATTTAAAATTAAGATGTTGACTGATAAAGCTCATAATAGACCAATGCATCATTCGAAAAGAGAATGCAATATGAAGATGACATAAATAGTAATATGGGGGCAGAAAGAATGAAACGAAATCGATTGATTACTAAAGACAAAGAAGAGAAAAAGAATAAAAAAGGAGAGATTAAACGCCAGATTGGTCCGTCATGAGACAAAGATTTCTGATCGAAAATTGAAAGACTTAAAAGGACGAGATTACTGGAAGTGGCTTTTAAAGTTTGAAAGAATTGAACTAAAAGTTGAATTAACTTGGATGAAATGCATGATATAATTCGTTGATGGCATCTTTGTCTTTTCATTCATCACAATCATTGCACGCATTACATGCCTCTCGATAAGTTGCATATAAGGTTTCTTTATGAGACATTAGAAGAATCAACATTTTTCTTTCTCGAAACAAAGACGATGGCCTTAAAGATGGTATGTTAGCGTAATTTTAAAATCAAAACTATTGGTCTATAGAGTACCCAATCTCCTATTTCTCAACTCACAGCTCAGTCTTATATATTTTTTTGACTTGCAGTTCAGTCCCAGTCATCTTTAATCTTTGGCTCACAGTTTAATCCCGGTCATTTCATTTATTCCCTCGACTTGCGATTTAGTCTTAGTCATCTTTAATTTTTGACTCGCGGTTTAATCCCAGTCATATCATTAATTTCCTGACTTGCGGTTCAGTCCCAGTCATCTTTAATTTTTGACTCGCGATTTAATCTCGGTCATTTCATTAATTTTTTGACTTGTGGTTTAGGCCTAGTCATCTCTAATTTTTGACTTGCGATTTAATCTCGGTCATTTCATTAATTCCCTCGACTTACGATTCAGTCCCAGTCATCTTTAATCCTTGACTCACAATTTAATCCCGATCATTTCATTAATTCTTCGACTTATGGTTCAATCCTAGTCATCTTTAATCTTTGGTTCACGGTTTAATCCCGGTCGTTTCATTAATTCCCTCGACTTACGGTTTAGTCCTAATCATCTTTAATTTTTGACTCGTGGTTTAATCTCGATCATTTCATTACCCGACTTACGGTTTAATCCTAGTCGTCTTTATCTTTTGACTCGTGGTTTAATTCTGATCATTTCATTCTCCGACTTACGGTTCAGTCCTAGTTGTCTTTAATCTTTGACTCATAGTTTAATCTCGTTCATTTTATTCTCTGACTTGCAGTTCAGTCCCAATCATATTTATTCTTTGGCTCGCGGTTTAATCTCGATCATTTCATTAATTTTCAGACTTACAGTTCACTCCTAGTCATCTTTATTCTTTGA